TCCGATTCTCCAAGCCGATTCCACACTCCTTCAGCAACGGCGTCAATTTGTTGTAAAACAGTTCCGATGGTCGCATAATCGTTGAATTTCCGCCACCGGTTTTGCTGCTCATAGCGCATTCGCGCTGCTGCCATCGTTTGTAGAGTATGAACAATGGCGTCACGCCGTCGACCCACTGAATGAGACCGGATCTGGGACCCAACGGAATCACTGAATAATGTCGCGCCCTATATGTCTTTGTGTCACTGTTTTTCGACATCATGGTATTACATATGCTTAGAAATTGCATTATTCTCTCGTCTAGGTGCAGGTCCTCTAATCCCTTAAACAGATACGTATAAACATGACCGTCGGAACCGTGGAATATTAGCTTCTTTGGTTTCGTCTTGGTCGGCAGAATCTGAACATTGTTGTCCACCGACATGATTGTGACGATCTTATTATCGATAGCAGCGACGCCCGGCATGGCGATGCATGTGTTCTTCAGATTGGCTAGGATAGGGCTGATATCCATCATCGATAGGGAATAAGCGGTCCGTCGGTGCACGCGTTGTGCCAATTTGGTTTCCAAATGCTTCAATGCCAAACTAGCCATTTGCGGTTTCGCCGGATTTTTGGGATTATTCAATCGGTTTATCACCTCCTCTATGGAAGCGCCAAATTTCTCCTGAAAGTTTCTCTCGTGCGGAGTCTCGGCAGGTACGGATGTCATAGAAAGAAGATTCTCCAATATGAACGTGATCGGCTTTAGAATAATTCTATGTTTTTCCGCAATCAGTTTGTCCTTCTCTTCGGGCGCAAGCCAGACGTTATTCTGCACCCGCTGAATCTCGATCTCCAGCTGCTCGAATCGCTTGGTGATCTCCGTGTGATGCTGGCACAAAGTCGCCAGCCATAATTCATCCCACAGCAAAGTGATTCGTCTGAGCTCCTTCACCAGCACCTTCACCTGGACTATCGAATCCTGGATGCGACTCGAAAGACAATCGACCAATTGCGAGAAACAGGAATCCATAAAACCTTCGTGCTCGTCGTTGTACGAAGCGACGACCTCGTCCTCTTCAGCGGCATTCGAGTCCAATTCGTTTTGCGAATTATCGTTGTCGTTGGGTTTCTCGTAGACGACTTTGTCGTAGGTCTTCTGGCCTGAAACGGCGCCCACCACGGCCGGGAATATAATCAAATGCGGAGAATTTTCCGCCACACGGCATAACAGCTCGGACACTTGAGTCCTCACGTACGCCTCAGGATGGCTGAGCCTCGAAAATAACTGCGGTATAATCTCCTTCCAAGGCGCGGTCGGTGTTGTCGAGAGACCGGCCTCGAGTACGTTCTGCAGTTCCAATGCGTGCTTTACCACGAGCCGCAATAGTCGCAACGTTGCCGTGATGGTATCGCACTCGTTGCTCTCGTTATTGGCTAATTGCAAGTACTTGAAATATGCATTTGCCGAGAGTTCATAGTACGAGTAGATCCTCTTCTGTGCCTGTCGCCAGATATCGACCAGCATACCGAGAAGATGCTCGTTGCCGGCGTGATTCAGCACCGGCAGGTTTCTCAATTGATTTTCTATCATGTCGGACGTGTTCACGTCGTTCGTGTCTATGTCGCCCTCATCCTCGGGTATAGTTTTATTCTGGCCGAGTATGCAGAAAACGGTGTTGAGATCGGCCTCGGCCATATCCATTGGCAGTAAAGACTGTATATTGAACCGATCGGTATCCGTCAATTGACCAGAGTTGGAATTATCCACGATTTTTCGACCCCATTTGTAGCACCATGCGGCGAAATTTGACCAAGCGTGCGGAAGATCCGGACACTGATTCACACCGAGCTGCATCAGTTTGCCAATTATCATATCCGATGTCGGGATCAAATCGATCGTGTCACCGAACAATTTATCCATCAGACCATCGTTATGCACGGCTTCGAATCTGAGCAATTCCTCTAACTGTGGATTGTCTTTTACATTCATGTCCTGCTGTATCCATTTACCCAGGGTAAGCAAAAGCTTGGTTCCCATCTCTCGCAAATCGGCGGATTGCTCACCGTTGACGATCGCCTGCGAAATTCCCAAAGAAGTTACGCAGCATATCTTCAACGCCTCGTTCGTGTTCTCCATGTCGTACAGCAATTTTGAAAATTCTCTGAATGCATGCATGCTATTCTTGGTCCATTTCACGTGAACAGGCCCGTTCAACATGCTATTCGTGATATCGGCAAAAGTGCAAGTAGTGGTCGAATTTTTCAATTGGATCAAATTTTGCTCCATTTTAAAATACTTAACTATCTCTCGTTTCGCTAAATTAAAATTGCCTTCCTTCCTAGCCGTTCTAATGACGTGTAATCGTAGACTATCCACCTCCGTGGAACTGTTGTCGGATGATTGGTCAAAATACTTGGACCACCACAAGACTTGCGTTAAAACGTTCGAGTTAATATGATTGATCTTATCGATTTTGTACAATTCAAAAACGTTTTTGTCATTTTTACCGCATAACAGATTCTTCAGTCCCGTCGCGGAATACTGAAGCAATATAGCGTCATTGAGATACTCCGAAGGTACATTTCGCAAACTGTCTTGCATTGTCTTAGCCGCGACCTTCTCGCATCTCTCGATAACGTTTTCGAACGAGTCTTTATACTCATTACTGCGAATCCTCAACGCAATGTTCATTAGACTATTGCTGCATTCACTCAGCGCATTTGCACAACTCCAATTATTCTTCTTCTCGTCATCCAGCAGATTCCAATTCGTCAGTTCATCTAAGCTGATCAGTTCACCCTCTTCAAACTTCTTCAAACAATCCGCCTGCTGCGGCACGATATTTTCCGCAATTTGTTTTCGCAAAACAATATTTCTTTCTTGTGTCAATATATCGTTCTCTTGTAATTTCCAGTCTACTAATCCGGACCAATCGGTGACCGCTTTATAACAATTGGAAAGTCGCTGCATGCAAAAACCCAGCACTTGATTGTCACTTTCGAGTCTCGTAGCTTTGGAATTTTCGTCATCATCCGTTTTAGCGTGTGTCTGTTCGTCGATTATCTGCTTGTAGCCCTGCACCGCCGATTCGTAGTGTCCGGCGGCCTCTTCCATCGCAGCTTTCAGCCACGGAAACTGTCTGTCCTTTGTCTTGGCATACGCATAGAGTCCTTGCAAGGCTTCTGCCTCATTCAGTGCGACCATCGCCTGCGCCGTCCACAACGTTGCCCTCTCAAACTCTATACCTTGCGTACTATCGGCGTTACTCAAATCTTCCAGCAGCCTCTGACCGTTTCGCAACGCGCTCGTCGCCAGGCCTGAGTGCAACGAGACGACGCACAAAGCTAGTCGTATGCGATTCAACCACTCTTTGCACGTCGATTTATTCGTATGGAAAAAGGTTCTGACTGGCTTCGATAACGGCAAAAGCGCCATCGCGCAACCATCTGCTGCATTGTGAATAACTCTTTCCAGATGTTCCAGGAACTCTATAAAAAGCCGTACCCGCGTGTGCTCGTGCAACATGCGATCCAAGCTTGGCTTTTCCTTCTTTATTATCACGTCTGTGCTGTACGATATCTCGCGAGCCAGAATTTTCAGAGCACTCTCGATCGACGTGAATGTCTCCTGTGGTTTCCCTAGAAACGTGCGGAGCTTGTTGAGCACGCAATGTTGCGCCGCCTCAAAACCGCTCCAGAAGAACAGGAATGAACAATTTGCCAGTGCCAAGTCATATATCCTCGCCGTAGTTTCATTTTCCGATCTGGAAATGTTTTATATATATGATAAATATATATTCTCACATTCTATATCTCATATCCTACATTTATAACAAAATAATTTCTAAAAGATACTTACACAGCTGGCCAGCATAGACTAAATATTTCCGACAAACCGGCCGCGTCGAGGTAATGCTCTTGCAGTAGGAATGCCATATATGTTTTGAAATGTTGCGCCAATAATTCCCCATTATTATTACCTCGCATGTGTAATCTCTGAGCAAGTATCAATGATTCTGTCGAATATGTTTCAATTTCTCGTATTTTCTGCATTCAAAATAAAAATTTGAATTAAAAATTAGAACAAAATGTTACTTTCATCTGTATGTATATGCTGCTTTATTTAGAACTTGAAGCTCTTACCTTAGTGTCTGAGAATAAATATTCTTTATTCAATTTTGGTATAACAATATTAATGGGCATACACATTAGTAGTGAGCCGTATTTCTCGCGGATTGTTTTATTGCATGATGTTAAATGCAACGTCGCTAGATCTATGATACTCGAATAAGTCTCTTGCTTCCATTCCACCTTCTTCGCAGTCATCAAGATCTCCAAGAGATTGCATACTGCGCTCGCAATGTCATCATTGGTTGTAGCGCCGCAATTAATTAAACTCGCAATGATATTCTGGCACTCCTGAGTTTTACTCAAAATCCCGATGTATTTTTCGGATTGTATGCAAATCTCTTGCAACCAACTGGACAAAAGAAGTAAAATTCGTACGGGCGTCCTTTTGTTGTACGTCTTGGCTATCAGATTGAGAATTATAGATAAATGGCCGCTAGTAGGTGATGTGGTCGGTACATCTAAAGTTCCAGGAAACATATCCATCGGTCGACAAGCGGTACTGCCAGTTATCAAGCTAGAACTTGGAACAAAGTGATTGTACCTGCAATAAGTTAATTATTGAAAATTTATTTATTGTTACACGCAATTGGAATTTCTGGATTCCTCTATTAAAAGAGATTAAGAAATTTTATCTTACCTGGAGCAATGCGCATAAAGCAAATACAAAATACTATATTGCAAAAATGGGCTGATTGTAGACAGTGCAGTGTCGTATGGTTTTAATTTAACTGCAAGAAGCTCGAGGATACTAGGCTTTAAAGCCCACATTCCGATAATCGAATTACTCGCATTTGCTAAAAAGAAATCGTTGCACATAAAAAATTTCATAGTTGTAAATATATTGTTGGTGTTATTCGCTCACCTATATCCGAAAGCGCAAGAAGTATAAACGTAATTATAATCTCAATATCGCTCTTTGTATAATTCAAATCGTTTAACGGATTGTCTACAACTAAGCTGTCCATATCGGGTAATATAAGCCTATAAGCAATCTCCAAATCCGCTAGTATATAGCGATAAGATTCCTGCAATAATGGAATATTCTTCAAACTGAGAAGGCTGTGATATACGCCCAAACATGCGTTTTGAATGGGGATGGAATTTCGGAATCTTAATTTCAGCAACGCCGAATTCTTGCCGAGCAGTGTGTGCACCAACTCTAACGGCAAATTCGCAGACACTTCCTTTATTATTTTCGATATGATAGTTAACATTGAGATAATAGTATCGTCCCAAAAGATATTGACCCTCTGCAATTGAAGATCGATGAATTTATAGAGAAGTTCATGGTTTTTTGCTATGCGACTTTGAAGATAACCGAGGAGCAAGAAAGCGCATTCATTTGCGACGACGATCAATTCCTCCTTCTCTTCCGATAAATCGATCTGTTTGACTTTCGGTTCCATCGATCGCAGCAAGTTCATTAACAACTGTCCCTTTTCCTTGGATAGAGCACCTTTATCAGAAACTATCTTAGAATTTTTCTTATCATTCTTTTTATTTATAATCAGTGACTTCATCATCTTGACGAGATTTTCCTCCGTAATCTCATCTTTACTGAAATGCTTGGAGAGCATTTCAATGTGTTTTTGCGACGAATTGACGTTTTTTATACATTTAATCAAGTCCTCTGTGTTGTTAGATATGATTTTGGGCCAAACGTCATTCTCTTCTTCGAATTCAATCGCTTTAACAACAGTCTTTAGCATCTTTGATAGACAATCTGTTAAAAAAGACCATTGTACGCTGGGTGCAAGATTTGGATTTAAATGCTCGGATATGCTCTTCGTTACTGTGTTAAAAACGGATATTAAAGATGTGATCTTTAGAATACATTCCCTTGGTGTCGGAGATCCATCATCACCGGGTGAGATACGACCGGACTCGGGTGAACTCAATTCCTCATCATAGCCTTCCATATCTTCCAAGAATTGACCTAGCAACGTCAGTGTAAATTGCAGATCTGATATCCAGAATGAGCGCAGCTTTTGCAAACATCGACTCGCGTAAAGAACGACGGACTTTTGTTGCGTAGAATCAATGTGCCAACCTACAAGTATGTCCACAGTATCGCGAAAGTGATTCGTGAATGTCTCTGGGTAAGAATCTATGATGAGTAATATAGCATCGACAGTCGCCATCAATAAATCTGCTCTATCGACATTTTCCAATATCGATTGTAATTGGGACATCATCGGCTATAATGCAAACATCGTTGCAGTTAATAATCATTGTTATGCAGAGAAACAAAAAAGTTGATTATTTTATTAATTCTTATATAAATGTTATTTACCACAGAGAAGTCTTTCAATTTAGATGTCTCGACATCCATCTTGAGTGTCTCGCTAATTGATTTTATTAGTAAGCATTTTATATCATCTTTACGTTCCAAAGAGTATTTATTGAAGGTCCAGTCCATATATCTAAAAATTATATATAAGTTTTGTAATTTTGTACCATTATATTAAATGTAGATGTATAAAGAAATAAAGAATATATATTTCACAAATTAAATACTCGATTATGATATACCTTTTAAAATCTTGTTCTACCACATATCCGATTCGACCCAAACATTTTGCAATCTGTTGTTTTGCTTCCTGACCAGGGCCAGAATGCAAAATATCTAACAGATTCTCACAAATAAGTTCCAAGTTCCGTCGTATATAACGTTGATTTTCAGGTGCAAGAATACCCTCTTGTACTTGCTTGCAAAGCACCATGAAGTGATCGTAATCATCTTCGCGACACAGTCGTCGCAATAGTTTGGAAATTCTCGAGTCCTCTAGAATAAATAACCAAAATTTTATCAAAAAATAAAATTTGTGCATATCACAAAAACAAAAGTAAGTTATTTATTAACCATTTATTACCATTTATTCTTTTATCGTCATAGTATTTGCCTTGTGCATTCTCGTGATTTTTCAACGATTCTTGAAACTTGGATCTAGATGTAGAGTGATAGCTGGACTCTGAATTTGACTCGCGATCATTGAGGCCTTTCTTGAAACCTCCTCTACCACGCGTTCCACCTCTGGCACGATCTGCAGAGCTGCCACCGCGCGCCATTCGAAATTCATTTCTTGGAACACTGTTGAGTCTATCACAAAGAGTTTATTGTAAATGATCCTTAATTGATAAGATATTGCGATAATATACTATTAATTAAATGAAGGAAAAAAACCTTGGCTTAAATCTGGCAAAGCCGTGATCTGAAGAATAATTGGAGTTTCGTTGACAGATAACCAGGGTGCTACGTGGTACATTAAGATCGTTTATACTGTAACCACTTATCACGCCACTGTCTTCTTTCTCTATCTCCTCTACTTGATTTATAGACTCTTCTTGAGTCTCGGCACACTTGGAACCACGTAGCCTCGTGCTAATATTAGAGTTCCCACAGCTATTCATTACATTACTCTGCAAGTGGTCTGCATGACCCACACTTTATAGATGTAACTTGTAGTTACCTATAGTTACCTGATTCATCAATAACATCAAAAAAAAGGTAAATATACAAATGTGACAAGTTATAATTTTTTACAAATCAACATTTTTTGTAACAAGTGAGAATATTTTATATACTGTACTGCAAGAAAAAATAATCTATATTGGATTCACTTACAAAAGTATAAAAATGTTCTATTTGCGTATACAATTATACCAAACAAATAGCAAGTCATATACGGTGAAAATACTTAATTGTATATAAAATGTACTGTTTAATATTTTAAATTATCAAAAAAGAGAAAGAATTTGTTCAAGTCTCAAAATATCCTATTTATTAATGCTATTCCACACCTTTTAGTACAAAAATAAGCAAGTGTTTTTTAAAGTTAGAGTATTGGAGAAAAGCTAGCAGCAACTTGTTATTATTTCGACTTCTTTTTTATATCTGAGTTTACATGTGTGTTTAATAGACGGATTCTATCATGAAATTTTCCAAGGGTCATTAATTCTGCGCGGGAAAGCACGTGGGCATTATTAGCGAGAGTCGTAATCAGTTTGAAGAGTAATATCGCGTTTTCGATATTAATTGCATCTTTCACACAAACAGCATCTGTTGCTGATAACGTTACCCTCCTTCGCCTCCTACTCCACTTCCTCCACGCTCCGAAACTCTTTTATATATGAAAACGCTTGTGCTTAGGATAAGTCACTCCTCACCTATCTCGGGCAAATCACGCGTAGATAAGATGCCGGTCGCATAAAATCGGAAGAAAGCCAGCGAAACTTGTCGCTTTCGTGTACCGTGTCTCGCGAAAAGTGTACAAGCTCGAAAATGCTGATTTCAGAGGTTATGAGAGAACACATTCGGTGTTTCACTGGCTTGGATTTTCACCCCACCATGTCCAGCACGTCGTGCCATGCCACCATACAGATTTCTTCTAGAGAGTTTTCGTCTCTCTCAGCTGAGCGTCCGAAAATTCGAGACTCCCTCTTTCCGATTACTTCCGTTTCCTTGTCGATTTTACGCTGATACATATTTCGCGATGTTGAACCATCGCAATGAATTTTTATCCCATATTATCTTACAATGAAAAAGCAATTGGACGATAACTGTATGAGAGCCAGTATAGGAATTTTTGTTTTTCGTTAATATTTTGAAGACTTGCATAATGGCCTTTGCATATTTTGCAACTCTAGGGAATAACGCGCGACTTATGATTTATGACCGATCAACCTTTCTTTCTTCGGAGAAATAATGAATAAAATTAGAATATTTTATTTTCAGTAATATATCGCTAAAGCAAAAATCTTTGAGAAATTTTAAAACTTAAACCTTGTGTGTAGCACACACTTATAATGTTCTAGTTTTATATATTTAATTTAATATAATTAATTATTAGGTGTACAAATAAGTTTCCGCCGTTTGACAAAAGTTGGCGCCACCAGTAAGTTATGGTTAAAATTGTCAGATGTAAAACGTCCTTATCGTAAGATTTAGAATTATTGGACATCAGTCAATAACATAACCTTAAAATATTAATGATTTTTTATCAGTATAATATATTCTTTTGTGTGCGAAAATCACAGATATCTATACTACTACTAGATCGCTAACCTCGTCAAAAGAGCTGTGGCCGGCCGAATTTCAGGATTCGGCCATGACACCTTACAACAAAATGGCTGCTCCCGCTTTTTGTCAGCTATTGCTATTATTTTAAACGCACGCCGCTTAAATTTACAAATTTTTTAATGAACTTTTAATAAAAACTGAATGAACCATTTTTTAATGAATTGATCTTACAATTTTTAATTGAAAAATATGATATATATTTTTATATGATATATATTTTATTGAAATAACCTTCAAATATTATAAAATTCGAATATTTATTAAAAATGAATGCCTTTTACTCTCTTACCTAAATAAATAAAAACCATTTCTTGTAGTATTTTTGCATTTCGGAATGCAACTGCTCGGCATCTTTCCAGAACGCACAAACACTAACACACGTCGGGTATCACATACATGCACTACACACGCATCGCCGCCATTTTATTGTAAGGTGTCATGGCCGAAACCGGAAATCCGGCTGGCCACAGCCATTGATTTTCATACGTCAAAGCCCGAAGTTAGCGATCTAGGTTTAGTATAGACATCTGTGGCGAAAATGTCGAGTTTTGAGTCATATGAAGATACCAAAAATTGGGTCGATTCGTGGATAGCCTCAAAAGATGAAGCATTCTTCCGACGTGGTATCCGTATGCTGCCAGAAAGATGGGAAAAAGTAGTGGCAAGCGATGGACAATACTTCAAATAAAACATTAGGTTCCGTTCTTTCACAATAAATGCCCAATTTTTGATAAAAAACGGCGGTAACTTATTTGTGCACCTAATACTTTTATTTAACCAGTACACGTGACCTGACAGCAGTTGTGTATTTGCATTCCGTTTAGATGTATATAATATATATGTAAAGGTTTTGTTGTACAAAAGATTAACATATCTATAGATACATAAATTTACTTTTAGATGCATATGATGACAATAACATAGATAAAGGACAATATTATTTTTCAACTTAGCATACATAGTTTTGAGTCATATGCTAGAAGTAAATTATGACTACATTTTACATTTCATTTTGAGTATTTATAGTATGTTAATGATGTGCTGGTTTTCCTTTCTCGTTCTCTGGCTGTACTTCGGGCGTGTGCGGCCAAATTGTTGGTTTATCAGATCGTATAGCCTGATCTGGATAGAAGTCGTGGAAATCTTCCATTGTCATTTCAGAGAATGGCAACAAACTCTTTACTCTTTCGACTTCCTTGCTGGCAGAGGCAATGCGTTCGTTCGACTCTTTAATAAATTGCTCGATTTGAGCAAACTGCAATACATTCATAGTTTAGAAAAAATGATAAATGTAACATTTCACAATTTTAATCATTACCATTTCCTTTTCCTGAGCCTCAATTAGCGAAGTATATTTATCCGATGGATATGGCACTGCAAAGGATTCGTATTCCTTCTGAAATTTATCGACTAATCCAGATAAAGCAATATTCTTCTTGTAATATACCCAATCAATTTTCGGAGGTGCCTCTGGGTTTGCAGTCATTCTACAAATATCAGAATATAAATCCATAATATAAATTATAATATCAATATATCACCTTTCTTATTTTTTAAACATATCAATAATATAATAATTTTAAAAATATTTTATAAAAAATTGATAAGAGTTATATGTAATGCTTTAATAAATATTGAATATATTATTACAGCAAAGTTATTCTCTCCAACGAAGGTTATGTATATGAAATTGCTATTCTTGGTAAATAGTAACGAGTTAAAGAATATGTTCATCATTTTTTCCCATAACATACTTAATTATCGTAAAGAATTATAATCCCGTAATTTTCCTGTATCATTTTCATTAAAAATAAGATCCAATCGCGTTATATAATAGCTCACATATGAATCTTGAAAAGAATGATACATATATTTACTGACCGTCGCAGATGCTGGTCAGACTTGGCTTTGAAGGCGGCAAATGTGTTTTTTTCCGCCTCCGGAATTCTTTCGGCGAGCGTCGCCCAATTAATCGCTTTAATCGCCCTGCGTGACATTTTCTCCGCGCTATCGTACCTTCCCGAGAGCGAGACAAGCCGACAAGTTACGATACTAGACACCAGCTGATCACACAAGCATAGACATTAAACTTCTATCTTGAGAGCGGCCACGCCAACATTTTACGTGGATCGCTTTTCCTACAATTTGGTTGGTCAATTTGCTCGCGACCAAAGTGTTTATGAGAAGCACTAAAAAAAGAACTCATTTCTGGGCATGCGCAAAAGCCGATGTGATTGTCATCAGGCAAAGATCGCGTTCAGCAGAGAAAGCAATCGAAAGTGATTGTTGCTGATTGATTCTTCTTTTTAGAGCCAACAAAATTGTTATGGATGTAAAAGAAATATTTCATATATTTATTTCGTGTATAAAAGGACATTGAAGACATCTTATATATAATTATAATAATAATTATTATTATCGTTCTTCATCGAAATGATCAATCTCTCTCTCTCTCTCTCTCTTTCATATTTGCATCTCTCTCCCTTCAGTTTCCTTGTTTAACTACAGATTATTCATTTCTCGGTGTACGGAGATTTTTTCAACGCACCGATAGGCGGCCACCGAGTCGAATGTCGATCATAAAAGTCGGCGCCGAATCACGGATGGCGGGGAGCGTTGCGCGTTGCGTCTCGCGGCCGCGGGGATCGATAAAATAGAATGGACGGGCCGAACGAGAGACGGAGATGGAGCGCGAAAAAGAGAGACGCATCGAGCTGGTTTACCGCTCGAGGGAGGGGGGACGGCGCGCGCGCGAGGGTGGGCGGAGTGGGCGACGCGGCGTGGCGGTGGCAGGCGGCGGTGAGCATAAAGAGGATAGGATAATATCGGTGCGCGTCCTCCTGCGGAGGTGCCCTTTCGCAGGGCCCGTCACGGATTCGTCCCGTCTCTCTCTATCTCTCTCTTTCTCTCTATATCCCGTAGCCGATCTGATTGCGGCCGAATCTGTACGATGTAGTTATGCCGAAGAAGGGCACGCGGCATGTGAGGGAGCCGGGGAACACGAGAAGCGTCCAGCAGCAGGAGCAGCAACCGCACGGAAGCTGCGTCGCGCTGCCCGGCGCGACGACGATCGTTCCGGAAGTGGCCGAGCACTTTCGCAGCGTACATATCGGCGCGATCAACGGCAAGCGTTGGCTATCGCTGAGGAAACGCCTGGGCCTGACGACGGACGAGGATGTCGCGGTGTACTTGCTGGATCTCGCCGACTCGGTCGCTACCTCCGTCACCAGGTACGTTTCATCATGGCTCACGCCTCACCGCTGTCATCGTCGTCGACCGTGGTTACCGTATATACGGCCCGATAACGACGCCGACAGACGCGCGGATCTCGAACATTTCGATCAACGCGTGACAGGACCTAGCTGTCACGCGTACGGGGCTTTCCCCCTACTGTCACCCGACGCGTCTCGTCGAATCGCCATCTTGCGGGAGACGACGTACGGATGGAGGAGATGCGAGGAGCGCGACGCCGAAGCCGGATCGATACCGGATTGTCGCGGAAGGCGCGCGATATCGCGCCGCGGCCTTTTGAAAATCGCGCGACGTTCGCTCTCGATACGCGGGAATATTAGCCGCAATCGCAAGTTTTTAAGTTTTAAAGTTGAATACATCCACATCATTTCTATCAACACTCTCTTAGACAATAAAATTGTGGCCTCCAATATATTTTTGCTTACACATTTACTCTTTCATTGATTCATATATAATTAGTTTCATATCCAGATAACAATCTCTAATATATTTAAATTTTTAATACACAGGCAAGACGATAAGTGCAATGGAGCAGAGGATTGGAAGGCAAGTCAGGTCAGGGATGATGATGAGGAAGCTCTCAAGATTGAAACAGACGAGGAAGAGGAAAAGGAGGAGCCTGTTCGCAGAAGTTTGAGAAGGCAAGATCCCGTGTCGAATATCGTCGAGATACATTCTCCCAGTACGATAAGTGAGAGCGTGTCGTCGAAAGTGCTAAATGACGCGATCAAGTTGCATGTGCGACGTAGTTCGAGATCGAAACATCATAAGAACAAGACAAAACATCACAAAGACAAACGAAAGAAACGGCGGCATTCGAAGAACGGCGCCGAGAACGGCGGCTCCATCGGACTGAATGGATCCGAAAACACCAACGAGAATACGTTGGACGTGCAGAACTGTACTTCACTAGAAAACAAAGACTTGGACAATTGCGAGACGACGGTAGTCAGTGAGTTAGACACTAAATTAAAACTAGACGTAAGCTTCGGAATCAATACAAAGGACGTTGAATCCGTTACGACGAAGACTGAGCACATAGATAATGTAAGATTTATAAATGATGTAAATAATACGAGGAATAATAATGCCGGATGCGACGCGAGAGCCATTGATGCATCCGGTGAATCGACAAGGGATACCTTAGAGGATGATAGAATTACGAAGGTAAATTTTAACGATGCGGCGGCGTCGTCGTCCCTTCCGAAACACGAGTGTAAAGCCGAGGATCCAAACGAGGACGTAGAATATTTATTAAATCCAGTATCTAACATCAACGATACCGTAGAGGCACAAGCTGCGGACGCACCTGAAAAGACTTCAAAATCTCAAAACAAGACGAGCGCGGCGCATTACGCGGAATCGCAGGGTTACGAGGAAGTAACTTTCTATGACGCGTCCCAGAAGGATGACGAATCAAAAGACTCAGAGGATCGCAAGCAGAAGAGGAAACGGAAGCGACTGCGTCACGACGAACAAGTCGGAAAGAATTCCGCGAAGGATACTTCCGAAAATAACGCTTCGGACGAGACGTCGACGTTCAAGCATCGGCGAAAGAAGCACAAACACACGAACGAGCACAAAACCAAGAAACACCATGATGTACGGAAGGCGCCGCAGGACGGTATCGTTCAGGAAGAGACGCAGGACGTGTGTACGCCTGAAGTCGAGGTGCCGTCATCGACGGTAGGATCCGGAAAAATCGCTGACAATACCGACGGCGTAATATCGGAGCCGCAGAGACTCGCAATCAAAATTAAGCTCTGTCAGGAATGCGAAGTTCCACACTTGCAGGATGTGTGCCCTTTTACGGAACCGCTACACACGATAATCGACGCGATCTCGTACGAGGAGTGGCTGAACAAGCATAAGGAGAACACAGAGATAACGAAGGCCATCAAGTCGAAAGATCCGATGTCGGAGGGTTACGGCCGATTGGCGGACGATGGCTTCGAGTCGGACGACGAGCCGCTGACCTCCAGTGAACAATGTAAGACCAAATCGAAAGCGCCGAGAGAAGAGAAACAGTTGCTGGTGGACGTTGATCGGCCGTTGTACGCGAGGGACTCTCTGCCGGATTGTCTCGAGCTGAAGATCGCGAACACCGATCACGGTCTCAGCATCTACGCCAAGAGCCCGATCCCGATACGCGCCAGATTGGGCCCACTCGTCGGCACGTCAGTTAAAGAAATGGATATCCCGGATGATTTCTCCATGCGTCATATTTGGGAGGTATTATCATTACTTCGATTTGATTGTGCGATCTTTGTATAATATATTTATTACAATATACTCTCGTTACGAGAATAATTTTTACGGCAAAGAATTTATTTCTTTTCAGATAGATAATAATGGGAAAAGTGTATATATCAGTACTACAGATCCATTAAAAAGTAATTGGATTAGATACCTTAGACCTGCTGAAACGAAGGAGAAGAGGAACGTCGCAATGCTTACGACAAAACAAGGCGAGCTGCATTTTGTTACGACTCAGAATATTATATCGGGGATGGAGCTCACTTATTGGGCAGACTCGCAGTCTTCCACCTGGACGAGAAAGAATAAAATAGATAAAACAAGTATGTAGGTTATATGTCAAAGTAAATAAGTTAATATGATCTTATGAACTAGTTTATATGATCTATTCCACACTCATATCACTTTCAGATTGCGGAGGGTGCAACCTCAATTTCGCCCACCCGATATATTATCGATTGCATTGTTGCATCTTTCACGACACAAATTATAGTTTAACCATAAGAAAATATCATTGCAAGGTATTTTAATACTTGAATATATATTAAAATAAATTAATATACCTGCCATATGGTACTTACTTTATTTATTGTTGTACTGAAACAAATCCTGTCGGTTTTAGGTTTGCGGCGCCGCAGTTCTCGGCAAGGATAATATCATGAAACACGCGGCAGAATTGCACGGAGGTCGCGGCGCATATCAATGCCAATACTGCAAAAAATTCTTTTTAAGACTGAATTATTTGGATATGCATAGGACTTACGGATGCGCACAGAATCCGCAACGGTCGCGGCCGCTGTGCGATTTTTGCGGTCGCAAATTTTGTCAGCCGCAAAAACTAAAAGTACACATCAAAAGGATGCACAGCGGTAAGAGCGCGTTGACGATTCGCGATACATTATATTTGCATGTTATTTTTTTTTCACGTTTCTTATGCGTTGAATTTTTTCCACAGATATGTCCGAAGTGCTCAGGGAATTTCAATGTAAATCATGCTTAAAACTTTTGGGTTCTCGCGCGGCTCTGCAACGGCACATGAAGGAGGTTCATCACAAAGACGTCGTTGCCGCAGCCACATGCGATCGATGCGGGAAGATGTTTCAGAACAAAAGCAACTTAAAAATACACATGCTGACTCACAGCGGCGTGAAACCATTTAAGTAAGTTTTAGTTACCGAGCATCATTTCTTATCTAAGTCGTTTACCGTTTACATATGTGATTATTTCCTTCTTTATCAGGTGCAAAGAGAATGGCTGTAAGGCGGCTTTTACCACGAAACAATGTCTACAGTTTCATTATAAGAAAGTGCATGGCCTTTCGGAAGAGATGATGCCCAAGATCGAACGATCCGTAGCGTATACCTTTGATGCTTACAGCGGTGGTCTCGTCGAAGACATATCTTGTGGAAGGAGCAGTCACGCTAGCAGAAGAAATTCACAGGTGAGTTGTCTTTGATAATTACGTAACGATTGGCTTTTCGAATTCTTTTCATCGTGTATTCTTCTAACAGGATAACAGTAACAGTTTACCATCTCTGGACGAATGCAGCTCAGAAAGTAGCTTGAAGGTTGAGACAGCGGCGGCGAATCCCGCTCACAATGCCATTATAGATTCATTCCAGAGTGAGGCAAACGCTATGGTCAAATATAAGACGGAGCAACAAGAGTCGCAGGTTCCGACCCCGTCACCACAAACGACCGCATCTTTATCCAGCGGACTCGACACAACGACGATGGAAAACGTGCGGACGGAGATCGATCTATACGGCACGTCGAGAGTGCAGAGCAAGGGTAGCAAAAAGTGGCTAGGCGAGTTTAATCCGCCGCCTACGTCCGATATCGCCGTTCATTTACCGACAGTCTCGGTGCCGTCTTCTGATATGTACGATTTCGAGGACGGTAGAAAAGACGGTAGCGAGAAAGTGATCTCGCGCACTACGGCGCCAAGTCTGGTGATGGATAGCAATAAACTGGGCTTGAGCATGTATCGTAGAACTGAAAGCGCAAACGCGAGTCTGCTAGTGGAGGCAGCCTTGGACGCCGCCGAGAGGGATATAGGAGCAGTGTCCAGTCCAATTCTGGAAGACAACGATCGCGAGGCCAATCTGTACTCCATTTCGAGCCAGTTGCAATCGCCAATACCGCAGTCGCGGTCGCCGAATCACCTAGACTCGTATATCCAACAGCAGGAGGAACTGATGTCGCCTGCGGCGACGCCGGATGATCGACACACTCCTCCTAGCCACTTACACGTGGATTATCATCTTCACCGACCGGTCGATTATATCAGCGCTTCGAGAACGCACAACATCGAGCAATATCTACATCACGAGGAGCTGCCGCGCGTCTCTTCGCCGAATTACATCCACATGCAGCAAGAAGACCTGGTGTCGCCGTCGGCCACTCCGAATCCGCGCTACCAGGATGTACATCATCATCATCAGGTGCCGACGGATAATCTGTCGAGCGACGAGGGCGACTCGGTGGCGCAGAATCTCAGCCTGTCTGTAAAGGAGAAGGCGTTGCAACTGGACCTATCGACATCTTATAAATACGACTCGCTCGGCGAACAGGATTTTGCTCGCGAAAGATCCAACTTTGAGCCGTTGATGCTCAATAGCGGCGAGCTTCAGGGTCTGGACATGTCGGCTAGAGGATTTCATCACAGTTTCAGCGCCCAAGTGCAAAATACACGCTACCATCATCATCATCTGTATGACATTGGCGAGCGACAGACCGTGGATCTCAGCAGAACGAGTAGTTACTCTATGTCGTCGCCCCCGCCGCCGCCACCGCCGCCTTATCCGTCACACAGCGATGTTCTGCGGGTAGTCAGTCTAGATCTCACCCCAGGCGGTCGACACAGCGTCGATCTGAGTCTCTCCAGATCGCATCATCTGCACGGATCCGGCACTCGCGTCATTACTAGCCCGCAACCGGCCGGCTCGGCTGCGACGCATGTAGTACCTGATGCCGGTGAGGGCCGAATATTGTCTCCGCCTCCACCTCCACCAGGATATAATCCCAGTTATCCCGTGAGTCCGGCCCCGTATCATCCTCCGAGACCCGGATATCACCATTATCCCGGTTATTATTGATCCTTGTTGACGTTTGTGAATGTCGCGGCGGTTCAATATCTCTTCGGTAAGTTTTATTTCATACATTCGCAAATGTGTTTGTAGGTCTTTTTGTTATTATCTTCACACTAAACGAATTTATATATGTCGGAGTTATTAGTGATTTAAGTCCGCACACAGTTTTACGTTGTGATATATCCGGGTTACAGATGGAAACTGCCATTTTCATACATTATTGCGCACTACGGCGCCAAGTCTGGTGATGGATAGCAATAAACTGGGCTTGAGCATGTATCGTAGAACTGAAAGCGCAAACGCGAGTCTGCTAGTGGAGGCAGCCTTGGACGCCGCCGAGAGGGATATAGGAGCAGTGTCCAGTCCAATTCTGGAAGACAACGATCGCGAGGCCAATCTGTACTCCATTTCGAGCCAGTTGCAATCGCCAATACCGCAGTCGCGGTCGCCGAATCACCTAGACTCGTATATCCAACAGCAGGAGGAACTGATGTCGCCTGCGGCGACGCCGGATGATCGACACACTCCTCCTAGCCACTTACACGTGGATTATCATCTTCACCGACCGGTCGATTATATCAGCGCTTCGAGAACGCACAACATCGAGCAATATCTACATCACGAGGAGCTGCCGCGCGTCTCTTCGCCGAATTACATCCACATGCAGCAAGAAGACCTGGTGTCGCCGTCGGCCACTCCGAATCCGCGCTACCAGGATGTACATCATCATCATCAGGTGCCGACGGATAATCTGTCGAGCGACGAGGGCGACTCGGTGGCGCAGAATCTCAGCCTGTCTGTAAAGGAGAAGGCGTTGCAACTGGACCTATCGACATCTTATAAATACGACTCGCTCGGCGAACAGGATTTTGCTCGCGAAAGATCCAACTTTGAGCCGTTGATGCTCAATAGCGGCGAGCTTCAGGGTCTGGACATGTCGGCTAGAGGATTTCATCACAGTTTCAGCGCCCAAGTGCAAAATACACGCTACCATCATCATCATCTGTATGACATTGGCGAGCGACAGACCGTGGATCTCAGCAGAACGAGTAGTTACTCTATGTCGTCGCCCCCGCCGCCGCCACCGCCGCCTTATCCGTCACACAGCGATGTTCTGCGGGTAGTCAGTCTAGATCTCACCCCAGGCGGTCGACACAGCGTCGATCTGAGTCTCTCCAGATCGCATCATCTGCACGGATCCGGCACTCGCGTCATTACTAGCCCGCAACCGGCCGGCTCGGCTGCGACGCATGTAGTACCTGATGCCGGTGAGGGCCGAATATTGTCTCCGCCTCCACCTCCACCAGGATATAATCCCAGTTATCCCGTGAGTCCGGCCCCGTATCATCCTCCGAGACCCGGATATCACCATTATCCCGGTTATTATTGATCCTTGTTGACGTTTGTGAATGTCGCGGCGGTTCAATATCTCTTCGGTAAGTTTTATTTCATACATTCGCAAATGTGTTTGTAGGTCTTTTTGTTATTATCTTCACACTAAACGAATTTATATATGTCGGAGTTATTAGTGATTTAAGTCCGCACACAGTTTTACGTTGTGATATATCCGGGTTACAGATGGAAACTGCCATTTTCATACATTATTTATAAAGTATAGTCCAAAATAATATTTTATTCTCGCAATCACAATTTAACGTTCAAGTTAAAAATACGTATAAAAACTGTATGCGGTTATAAGAAAGATAGAGAGTAATCGAAAAGGAAAAATTTTTCGACAAAAAGAGACATTAAAATAAAGAAATTAGTAATATCGTATGATGGCGCAGACGATCGTAACGTGATTAACGCAGTTAATGCGATAAATATGCACAAAAGTATGCATACGACACATCCATGATGTTTAGAATGGATGTTATTTTTTTAAAAAAAATTAAGTAGCCCGAGATTTTGCGAAGAAAAATCTATTCCATGAGAACGATCGAAAGACGAAAGTTAATTTATCTCTGTAATTGTATAGCTGTTAAATTATTTATTCTTTACCTTCCTTCAATAAGCAGTTTATATGCAGAACAGTATGATGTGTGTGATGAGTATATCGTATATAGAATGGTCGTTGAAAAAGAAGCAGAGATACATCGTGATCCAGTGCCACGTCCGTCAGTGATAAGTAAGATTATTAAGAATTGTTATTTAGCTCTTAGCTTATATATATTCTTCTATTTCGGATCTATACTCTCCATTGAGAAATACTCCGTGTAACGTGGCTTTGGTGATAATCGCCGCATCCCAGATAGTTTCCGTAAAGAATATTTTATGCGATTAGATTTAGAATGAAATTAAAATAGCAATTATAAGAAACTTTTATAAAGGGAAGAGGAATCTCTACTTTTATCCCGTTAAATATGCGCTGGCACAATTATATTATTTTAAAAATAATATAAATTTTATTTGCGCACACGTGCTCTTTGAATCAAATAATAGGATATGAATAAAATATGTGCGACTGTCTAATATCTGGGATGCCAATATTTGTGAAATAATTCAATCAAGATGCCTAACGCGGTAGCTGTAAGTATATCTGCATGGTGATAACAGATTGTAATGTTCACTTTTTATTCTAGTCATTATATATGATAATCTATTGAAGTTTATATTTAAATCGGGCACGAACTTATGCAATCACCTGATATATATATATATATATATATATATCTGTCATAGAGCGAAGGCGACATTAGCTATATACGTTGCGAGCATTTCAGCGACCGTGAATAGTTGTCCAAATATGTGTTATTTGTTACGAATGCATATTTAAAATCGTACGAAAATTTCGCGTTTAAATCTTTATTTTCTCGCGGATTAATCTAACAACAAAGAATTATGGTGATATCAACGTATAATTCCATTATCGAAATAAATCGCGACGTTTTAAAATTTCCATTTTATATTCTCGATGATATTACGTTACATTTCTTACGCTTGGAATATACACAATATCACGAGCGTTTCCCAAGAGATGTATGTGAATTCTTCGTCTATTTTCACAAATCGACGTGTTTTATCATATATAAACATAGCACGTTTGTGTGCAACGTTGATTTTCTCATGTCGCTTCCAGAGATTTCTCTAGATTAACGCCCATTAGCCATTTATCGAAACCAAAGATCTAAAAATATCGTAACTCTTGTGCCAAATCGAAAGGCGCTCATTGTTATATATATATTGTATATGCAGCTTTTTTAGCTGAATGTAGCGATTAAAGAGGGGGACAATGTGATGTCTCGCATTGTCTCCTTCATTTCTGTCACATTTATCGTCGATTATTTAATTACGCTTCATTATTCGTGCACACTGAAAGAGATATACGATTATTTTAAGAACATTTTATCAATTTCTTTCGTGTAGACTTTTTTTTTACGACGCTTCTGCCATTAAGGATAGTTACCATTTTATCCTCATGTCGATTCTCTTACTTAAACGCGTTCTGCGTTTTATTTGTCCAAGCATATAGTTTGTGCATTGTGCATAATATAAGGACACAACAAACGCGAGATACATTTACTAAGATATAAATATACATTTACGTACACACACGAACACACACACATGACAAAAGAAAAAAATTCAAAAGAAATGTTTACAAGTACAAAATGTGGCACAGAATATATTTGTATCAGGTTTATTAACATTTAATATATTGTAAGTGATATTAATAGAACATGACAATGGAATAAGTAAATTGATGGTGTATTTTCCTCCTCATTCTGAAAAATATTCTTTTTGCAGAGAAATCTCCCGAGAATAAATGGTTCATTAAGAAATTTCTTCCCTGAATCATCTCGTCGATTGAAATGACTCCTTGTGTATAACACATCAATTCTCTCCCCTTACGCAAGTATATTTCTAGATATGAAATAAATTATACATGTCTTCTTGTATACAACAGATTTTATTGCAACTCAAAAAAAAAAAAAGAAAGAATTTATAAAAGATTGATCGATTTACAAAATTGCACGTCAGGAACTATTGTACAAAATTAAAGATCGCTTCGATCAAATTCCGATTATTATCTTAATCACTGATTACAGGGCGATCGACATCAAAATTTCCACAACGATATAATCCTCGTATATAGTCGGAGTTTCGGGGGCCGAAATATATCTAAGACTGATACAGAGGATGGGAAGTAGATATGAATTTGACGAAAACATTGTATTATCGAGACTATATTACATTCACAATGTAAAAAAAAAATCAACAATTGAAAGGGAAATCAATATTGTAGCAATAATTGACAGATCGGATCTCGAGGTCGGTTTGGTGTCTAATTTTCAGCATCTAGTTTTCTCAAAATATTCAGCGTCTTCCGGCGATGATCGGGGCGGAATACGCGGCCGGCAGGGCGGAATACGCAGCCGGCAGAGCGGAATACGCGGCCGGCAGGGCGGAATATGCGGCCGGCAGAGCGGAATATGCGGCCGGCAGGGCGGAATATGCGGCCGGCAGGGCGGAATATGCCAATGGTGCGGGTGCAGCCGCCAGATATGGAGCGGCTATGGCATGATTGACAGCGTGCGCGTTGTAACTGCTAGCGTAGGTCCCGACTGTCAGAGCCGCGGGCACCGCTGCCGGAATCGCTGGTACCACTCCAGCGGTACAGGCCGCCACGAAGAGAGCGCCGACGATAGCCTTTATCATGTAAATTTCAAATATTAGTAATTGTAGTAGAAGCTCGATCAGTAATTATAATAAAAAAAAAAAATCAGTAATTTAGTAATTAAAAATCAAATCAGTAATTAAAAATTAAATTAAATAAGCAATTTGCGGTTTCAAAGTCGCTTTAATATAAAAGATTATATGCATGGAAAATTAATTTTAATAGTTTATTCAAAAAAATTATATACAAATATATATATATATAATATATTAAAAGAAAATATTAATGAAAAACGTATCGTGTCAAAATGTGCGTGGGCAAAATTGATTTATATATTAATAAAAATGGCAAGCGTATTATTTACGCTTTTATAATACAAAAATACGAATTAAATTATTTAGGAAAACTTACAAAGATTTTGAACATCATTTTGATGAAGGTAGCGTAAGTGGTTGTCTTCGCTGCGAAAACTGCGATGCTATTCTCGATTACTTCGGTGTCTTTTATACACCTTGCCTTCCCCTTACGGGAACAAAGACTCTCCCACCATGATCACTATTTGTTATACAATTCGCGAGGGCGTATCCGGAATAATTTATTACGACTGGTCCCTCTCCGTTTCTGGATTGAGCCAAATTTTCGTCATCGCTCAAGACCTTTGATTGCAGGCATTGATATGAATTTTGTCCGAGATATACGATTTTATGCGTATTATGTGCAAGTAATAACAATATACAAGCGTGTGCGTAAAATCAGTAATTAATTATTCTTCTCAGATAGAACCTACGACACGTATAAGTCAGTAACGTAAGTCTAGTCCACTAGTTGTGCAATCGTACTATCATCGCTCATCGTCCTTGCTTTCGCGTTATTCCCATAAATATAAATGCTTAAATGCGTAATATAAATGAAAAAAAAAAAAAAAAACAATTTTAACATTGTATCGTCTGTTATATCAAAAATACGAAAACATGATCAATACGATATATATATGATACCTGCAAACATATATATATCCCAAAGTTCTTATATTTTTTAATTTATAAAAAGTGCAACTTTTTTTTATGCAACTTGTATTTCGTCTAATGTCTATTTTATTCTAGTGCATTTATCATTGGTTTCGTCTTAAAACATTTCTCACTTGAGAAGAATTATTGTTATTTCATGGCTTAATATGATCGTTTCTGCAAAATTGCGTTCTTTGTCCAATATTCCTTCTCCGATCGTCTTTGTGGTACGCTTCTTTGTGAAGAAATCGAAGGGATAGAACGCCCGGGATCAACGATCGGCTTGTGCCCTCGAACCGATACTTTATGCAAACGATCGCCGGGATTTGTTTTTGCCGTGTCGTCGTCGTGGCATGCGATCAGAAGCAGGATACAACCTTTCAAGGTTGCGAGGTTGCGATGTGGTCGGGTGGGATTCGAGTTTCCAGCTACCGTCCAGCTGCTCCGCGCCAAGTAATTCAGATCGAAGGCCCTCGGGGAATGTACGCGTGCCTCTTTCTTGCCCTCCGTCTGTGCGTGTCGCAAGAGAACAGGAACTCGAGAAGATTCGATTCGGCGATTCCTATATCCTAGCGATATTCCTTCAACGATATTCCTTCGATCACTTTCGTTTCGGTCTTCTCGGCCAGCCATGATCCGACGCACTTTCCTCCGGGTACGTGATTTACTTGCCGAAGAAGCTACATTACGTAAATTGTCGGGCACCTAGAGTATCAGAGCGTGTGACCTAGAATGCCGCGCTAAAGTCGCGACCGGACTCGCGATGACAACTCTTTGCGCGAATCGGGACTATTTCGGGATTTATCAACCGAATTAATTCTTTATATTAATCTTTTCTTAAGAACATTTTCAGATTATCCCTTAAGCTATCCAAATTAAAATTCTTTATTATTATTATTATTATTACAATATTATCTTCACACACTTTTTTTATTATATTGCAAATATAATATAATTGCAAGATTAACCATAATTCATTTTAATGAGTTAATAATAATTGTTAAAATTTTTCGAAATAAAGACAACGGGCATCATGGTACATTTGCGAGATAAAAATTTGTTTCAAATTTTTTTTTTTGATGACCACTGACCTTTTCATTCGAAATTATAATGACTTTGATCAAGCGATGCGCTCGATAGGAAACAGTTGTCTCTATTAATACTAGACATCTGTCAAATCGAAGATTATGATGTAAATAATGAGCGTGGCGGTCAGTTGCGTAATCCTGCCTGCGTAATGCACAAAGTGTGGCAAAATTGCGCGACAGGAAAAATGATTACGTAAAACACACGTGGCCTACAATGTGCCGCGGACAGATTTAATCGCGCATAAATCGAATAGCATCAAATGCATAGTTTTATAAATTCTTCGAATTTTACAAATGTTTTGCTGTATTTATTTCGATCTCATGTATTCTCCTTAAATAGAACTGGAGCAAAGCGATCTGCCTCGATAGGCAGATGCGAATGACAATTTCAACGTTCCTTTCAAAGTAGGTATAAGGAAAAAATATCGAGAAGAAAATTCTTCAAACGGATAAAATTATCCGAATACACTTGGAAAGATGCAGAATGCTGGATAAACTCGCGTGTTTTCGAAAAAGACATTCGGCGAACAAAGATAGATATAACGTCATTTCGTAACTAGTCATTAATTGAAGGTTAAACTGTTTCAAATTGATGACGAAAACGTCGGCTACGAAAGGAAAGCCACTTGACGATGCTCGTCGTGCTCGAGTTCAAGAATCGTGCCAAGAAAGAAAGAAAGAAAGAAAGAAATAGAGAAAGAGGCGCGTTTCGCGCATCGACACGCATTGACACGCAGTATTCGCTAACCAGGAGACATCGATGACCTTGATGAAGCGATAGTTGGGGGTCGAACAACGCGATATAAAGGCTTTTGCCTTTTGATTCGGAAAGCAGATCCCTCGAGTTCTTACCTCGCTTCGAGTTCTTCTCTCGATCATAAACCGTACAACATGTTCAAGCTGGTGAGTGCCTTATCAGCATTATTTACAATTTTTTTAGAATTTTTTTTTTTTTTAACTCATAATCATGCCTATTAAAATATTCCTAAAATTAGAATATTATATGCTTGATTATTTTATTTCTTCATATATTTTTTATCGCGACAAGATACACGCACGATATCTATAAAAGAGAGAACGCTACTATCCATTATAACTTTTCGAAGAGTATATTATTTTTATCTGAGAGAAAATATTTTAAATATTTTAAATCTATAAATATTTTAGAACTATCTCTCTCTTTTTAAATAAAATAAAATGAAATAAAATAAATTTAAATATAAATAGATATATAAAATAATAATAAAATTCTTATTGGTCAACACATTCTTCGTTACACGTTCTCTATTAAATCATCATATTGTGGCATATTTCGCTAATTAACGCGCAAATCTGATGATTCTTGCAGTGCATCCTCGCCGTTCTTCTCGCCGCCGTTTGCGCTGCTCCCGCACCTGCGCCGGGAGCGGTCCTGGCGGCACCGGCCGCGGCATTCGCAGCGGTACCGGCGCCGATCGTGACAGCCAGCAGCAGCCAGGTGATCGCCAGGAACTACAACACCCTCGCCGCGGCTCCGCTCGCTGCCGCTCCCTTTGCAGCGGCTGCTCCTCTGGCCGCGGCACCCTTGGCCGCGGCACCCCTCGCCGCAGCACCTCTCGCCTACGCCGCGGCCCCCTTTGCAGCTTACGGCACCCACGCTGTTGCACCTGCCGCGTATACCGCCTACTCCGCGCCCATTATATTGTAATTCGTATTTCGCGAACCAACCGGACTACCTATCCAAACTCGGATTTCCATAGACAAATCGATGGATTGACAGATGTTAAGTTTGTGTAATGCTAGTTAATTTCAATAAAAATGTTTTTTTCATCTCAAAGTCATGGTATTCTTTACTTGCTACATATCCTCAGGATATCCTACATGTATGTCCTGGATGCCCTTTGGACGTCCTAAGGACATCCTTGTGCTGTCTGGGTTACATCCTAAGTTTGGATGTTTTCCTTCTTCTTGTTGCGATCAAGTAGAATCTTCGTTAAGACAAAAGAAGATATCTTTATCAGTTTATTTATACAAGAATATTACAATATTATTATAATATCATTTTGAATTATTATTACTATTTTTATTAAAATATAATATAATAATTATTATTATTATTAAAATATATGCTTTATATATATATATGTATGTGTGTGTTATTGGAAATTTATGGAAGAAAATAATTGTTATGTTTCTTTGAATACGCACAAATCTCTTCAGAATCTTCTGAGTCTTTCTGGCAATGACGTGCACTATTATAATCGTATAATTCGGTTATTCTCCCCGGAAGAGAATAATCGTATTGTAGGATCTCTTTGGCTTTGGAACGAGCTGAAGGAAAGCGAACGTATATGAGCGCGATACGAGTTTGATTTGCTTAATACAAAAGAGTGCCCCGGGCGATTTACGTCACGGCGTAATCAAGGAAATAAAAGCAAACGCGCGAAGGGAGAGAGAAACTTGTCCGTCCGAGATTGTTGACGTCGCGTGGCCTCTGCTAGTATAATTTTCTCAATACGGCCGATCCTGTTTCGATTCCCGTCTTTCTTTCTCTCTTTCTCGCTTATAGTCAACCGGATCTCATCACGACTTCAAGGCGCGACGCCCGCGTATTTTTTCTCAAGTTCAAGTTCGCCGAGTCTGCGGAACACTTTGCTTTAATCGCTCGGGATCATGGATCGATCAAAGCCTCTCTCTCTCTCTCTCCCTCTCTCTTGATACAATCATTATCATGTCGAACACCGCGCCGATTTCGGTTAGCTCGATTAAAGCTCGAGTAAAGATCGTATATCGAATAATAAAATGAATACAACTTTTTTATGCTAATCGTTTTCGCATTTAATCGAAATCTCTCTTTTTATCGAAGTTTTTAAATGTGTAATTACGTTTTAACGTGACATGCGTGAGTATCGTAACGTCAATTCAAAATATCAATCCAAAATATTAAACGTGTCAATTACAACATTGTTTTATTTTTGTAATACTTTATTAATTTGTGGAGAGAGAGAGAGAAAGAAAGAGAGCAATTACGAATCTATTTTTTGTTTCCTTTGGCTTGTCCCGTGGCTTGCATACGAATTGATATGGAAAAAAGATGGAAACGTGCTTCCACGTAAAGCTAAACGTGAGCTATTTGAACATGTCAAATATCACTTTTGCATTTTATCCGCGAATGAAGCACGCAATGTTCTACGTAGGCGGTACGCCGGCTTTTATTTTTCCGCGAAAACTCGATATTAAAAATATCGAGTCACGCAAATTATGAAAAAGAAAATAGGAGAAATAAATAAAATTTTGCTTTTAATAAGAGATTTTATTTTTTAAGTTATCAATTTTTATTAGTACTTTTAGAAAGGATTAGTTTAAAAAATCGAATATAAGAGAATGGCTATACAAAAGGCAAAAACTGTGATTTAAGAAAAAAGATGAACAAAAATTTTTAAAGAGTCTTAGAATTCTCATATAAATTTTAAATTAAAAATTCTTTTATAGGATTTATGGTATACGAAAGGAATTTACATATCGCTTCCTTTTAATCCACTTATTTTTTTCTTTCTTGCAAAGCGAAAGTTAAAACAATTTATTCCGATTCGTACGGATAATCTTGTTTGCGACAAGCATTTATAAAACAAAGTAAAAGAAAGGCGAGCTTGAGGGATTAATACTTGGAAACGAAAACGGTATCAATGGACATGTCGGTTAATGTTGCTAAGGGAAATCGAAACGGAAACCATTTTGCGTATATAACCCCGATATCGATAAAACTTATCGAAGGCGCATTAATACCCGTCGTGACATTAAAATATCAAGGGTAAATGGCTATTTCGATTTTCTCACATTCGAATGAACATAGTTGTCGCCCAGAACACAATAGTATTTATTAATATTCAGCGAACAAAGATGCATCAGTTTGACCGCGTAACGCTTTTACGTAATTTTTTATCCTCCCCTTTGATGATGCAATGTCTGGCCGGTATCAAAATTAAATGGCAATGCAAATCGATTCGCGAAATGCTAGAGTGCTGGCGATAATTATCGAAGGAAACAAATGTTATTAATTTATAGATTAATTTATCTATAATATTATTAAAGATTAGAATCAATATTTTTTTCTGTATGTCGATATAGAATAATAATATTAATAATCGATAAAATTGCGACAAAATTTGTTAGATTTTGTGAACAAAAAATTATACAATTTCTGTGATAATAGCGATATTACCGCTATTAATATTTTTATCTATTGTATACATCTAGATAATTAAAGCTAGACTTTCTAAGGTAAAAAGAATTCTTTATATCGCTAGATATAAACTTTGTTTTTTTATTTGTAAGTATATATTTAAAAGCAGAAAACAATATTTTTTTATTCGTATATCTTTGGCACAACTATATCTATATGATAAAGAAGATACACAATAATTCTTTTATAATTCTTTTTATAATAATTCTTTAATAATTCTTTTCTAACCAATGTGAATATCCTGAGGGGGAACGTCTTGATTGACTACCGTTGGAATTTTGATGCGAGGGATGTTTAATTCAAACTATTCTCATCAGATAGGAGACGCGATTGCGGTCTCAATAAATTTGAAGTTTATAGGTGAACATTCGCAGAATAGTATATTCGTCGAAAATTCAAAGCTAGACAAGGCTGGTTATTTTAGATTGATCAAATCAGTATGTATGACGTAGTTGTTGAGAGAGTGCTCCTCTCTTACGGTCTCTAATGAAATTTCAAACTAATTTCAAAGCTCCTTTTCAGATACATGTATATATGCATGAGTAAATCGCAGATAATATATATTGTCATTTGAAAAACTCGGTAAAAACGAAATTGTACTGACATTTAAGTAATATTTGAGGAAATGTGTATGTAGTAACATGCATGTCTATATCCTTAAAATTCTTCCTTTGATGCATCGCGATAAAAATCAAGTACAATTTTATACGTGCCTTTTTTAACGAGAGGCAATCACGTAGCATTATAATTTTGCGTTTTCCGTTTATCCCGGAACACAAGCTACCCCCCATATTTATCAAGGATGTAAAAATAAACGCACCAGATCGTCGCATTAAAATGTGGTCGTCGATCGAGTCCGTGATTAGATCTTCCAGATAAAAATCGGAGCCGATCACTGGGGATAATTATCGGTTGTCTCTATCATCTTTGAATTTTTCGCGAAAAGTTATTCAGGATAAGTTGTCGCAGGATAGATTGTAAATTCGATTTTAATCTCCTTTAATAAATTTTAAGACTTTTGTACGATAAAATATTTTTTCTCTCTCTCTCTCTCTCTCTCTCTCAAATGTACTTAATATTAATTATTAACAAAAGTGTTCCTTGATATATTACTATTATATAAATTAAGCTTTTGCTAAATTCTCATTGATATAATACGTAATTTTTTAAAATGATTTACTTTTGAAAAATACAACATTGTAAAATTTGTAAAATACTGTACACTTAAAAAATGTAAGATTTATATTTTTGTAAAATGAAGATTGTCTGATAATTATTTTACAAAGTTGGTTAGATATATTTTCTCCTAGTCATGCTTTACACGTGCGATATGTAACAGGTTTACTTGCCGAGCAACTTTTGCAATATGTATTCGAGACAGAAAAGGAGAGTAGTCCGACCACGCCTGGCCATCATACGACCTTGAAGCATCATCATGTTCTCCCCTACCCTGTTTAATGCACGGTCGCGCAACAAAGCTCCATTGGTTGGCGCATGAAGAAAGAAACATGGAAAAAGAGAAGAAATCGTGACCTAAGAACGTGCACGTTCGTTTTCCGCTCGAGACAAGGCGACGCCCTCCCCGAAGGTGCGCTAAGAAGGTGCGAAAGAGGGACCGGAGAAGGGAGGTTGGAGATTCGCGGTATATCCGCCAGGGATTCCTTACTCCTATATAAGACGCGGTACATCGTATTTTGGAATATTATCGTACTCTCTGACTGCAAACCAGACAGATACACGAGCTCCAAGATGTTCAAGCTGGTAAGTCAATTGAGATTTTATTTTATCGAGATCAGAGGGGGTCCATCTTTGTCAGTCCCCTCTCGTCAACGTCTGTCTTTGTCGACAGGAATATTGTCGGAAATATGGGATATATGTTTTCGCTGACTTATCTGTTTTTAGACGATACGTTTTATCTAAATCCCTATATAATCGTCGCGTTGTTTAATAGAATGTATTTTTTAATTTAGCGATAGAGATTAGAAAATGCGAGAGTAATCTCACGGAAATCTCATTTTTACTCGCTTAGGATTTGCATGTTTCAAATTTTTATTTATACAACAAGAAATATAAACAATTCTCGCTTTGTACATTCGTGATTCTCGTAAAAATATATATTCACGAGATGTCATAAATTTCTTTAAAGTATTTTACAAATTTTCCGTTGCAATTAATATAAAATAGATGTGATAAAATTTCGATGAGTTGAATACATACTAAATATTAAATTTAAAAAATTACAAACATTATACAGAGAGATTTATGTGTATGTGTATCTACATATCTCCTATGAAACAAAGGATATTAATATTTAATATCGCACAAAAGCAACTTATAATTTAAAAAATTGCCATTATCATCACCGTTAATATCATTGATATTACATGGAAATGTCATTGTTTGCAGTTGTGCTTAGTCGCCTTCCTGGCATACGCTGCGGCTGCGCCCGCACCCGCACCCGCACCCGCACCCGCGCCAGCACCCGGAGCGATCATCAGCCCTCTTGTGACATCTTACAACGCTCCCCTTCTTTCCGCACCGTTGGCTTACAGCGCTTACAGCGTACCGTCATACAGCGCGTATTCGGCGATTCCGTACGGATCGGCCTTGCCGTACGGATATAAGAGCTACGCGGCCTTGCCATACGCCTTGTAAGAGCTATGCGTAGCCCATGTGGCCTAATCGGAGGTATGCATCGGAGGACCAGGCATCGCAGAGACCAAGGACTGATCTTTATGGATATTTCACAAACGAATTAATCAAAATTAAAAATCGCCCTCCAAATGTCTTCGAAAAATCGTGAATCCCGCGATTCGCCCTCTTCCCATTTTCTCTTCATTTCCCCCGTTTGAATAATTTCGTATTTGCATTCAAGATTCAGAATCAATAAAGTCGCTTCAAAGCAATTCTATGTGTTTCTCTTCTTTTACTCAATCACGTCCCATCCTCCTCCGCTTATTTAGACAAAATAAATTGAGACATTTCCGTTTTGTGTTCAATATTCGGATCCGTTGGAATCGATTTGCTCTTAAAATAAATTTTTAAGTTTGCGTATACAGGATTTTATAGGCAGATTTTCTTTATAAATTTGAAGGGAATGAAATATTTTTGTTTTATCTGCAAGATTCGATGCACATGTTATTCTTTCATTCAACTATTTCATTCAATACAATACCAGAAAGATGTAGGATAAATATATAATGTGAACATACAATAAATATACGCGCGCGTGTATCTTGAAAGAATTATCGATGATGTGGAAGCAAACACATAATGTTACACGGACACGTTACATCAATGTATTATTTCTGGTCTCATGCGTAGGACGGAGTCAGAAAAACCAGAATAAAATCATCAAGTATATTCTATATATTTTACAGAATACTATGTCGGATATAAAATGACATAAAGGCAATGATAAATCAATAAATTGCTAAAAGATTCTTTTTTATTCTTTTTTACAGCGTCGTTGATGTAACTTTGAGTGTAGGGGTACACTTAAGAAAAAAAGAAATATATTATTTTTCTATTTAAATTGCGTCTTCTCGTTTTCGTGCATGCTAATGTAAAAGAACTCGATCAAGGATGCGCAACGATATGCGTCGAAATCTCGTTCACGTAACAGGACACACTTTGCGAATTTGTAATCATGCGTTTCGTATAATTTCGTGCAACCGATTTCTCTAAAATTGATCGAAATGTGCGACCTACTCTCTCGTGTAGGAAATAAAATTTTCAAAATCGCAAAGGAATTTTAAATCATCGCAGAAACGATTTTATACTAATTGTAAGGAAGATTAATTAGATATAAAATAATATAAATTAAATGTAGAATGGAATGAAAATATACTATTGGGGGCAATTTTGCAATAAAGTGAAGAAAAGTCTCGATATCCTGGCCATTGTCTCAGTAAATTAAAGGCATACGGAAATAAACATTAAAGTGACTTGCGAGTATCGATTTAACACATCTTTTATAAAATTTAATATATATATATATATATGTCGTAATATGTAAAATATTTCGGCAGCGAATTATCAATAACATGATATTTACATTGACGCGCTATTTAGGTACCATAACTCTGTTATAATTCGCGCGACGACACTCGAGCAGGAAAATAATCATGCGAGACGCTCCGTCGAATTCGACTAGATATAATTTGGATTAAGAACGTGCTATAAAACGATCGAATCACAAAATTGACTAATTAATATAACGATAAGCTCCATGATACATTAATTGTTTAATAAATAATTGATTTATAATTTAAAATACTTATATAATTTAATATTTCGCATATATATTTTATAGTACGTAAAATATTTCGGCAGCGAATTAGGACTTCCATATTTTTCGAGATATTTGACTGGCTCTTTTAAAATGGACCACCCTGTATATATATATAGCTTTTTAAAAGTATCTCTAATGAGAATATTATGTGTGTGTGTGTGTGTGTTATATATAAAATATTATAAAATGCGCCATTTAGTTTTTATAAATAATAATAGACAAAAATGGTTAAAAAATCGCAATATCTCTTGCAATATTGCAGCGTAAGAAGATTAAGAGTTTCTTTTATATCACGTGGGATGCTACCCAGAACTCTAAAAAACTAGATATAATTTGGATTAAGAACGTGCTATAAAACGATCGAATCACAAAATTGACTAATTAATATAACGATAAGCTCCATGATACATTAATTGTTTAATAAATAATTGATTTATAATTTAAAATACTTATATAATTTAATATTTCGCATATATATTTTATAGTACATAAAATATTTCGGCAGCGAATTAGGATAATACCTAACATGGTATTTGGCCTTGGCGGCGTAAACATTGGCGCGCGTAAACATTGTTTATGTATCACGGCCTTGTTATCATTTATACAAAGACACTTGAATAGAACTGTAGTGGGGCGAGAGGCTCAAATTCCTTTCTTACGTGTTTGCTATCATTC